GTACTGGGTATGGCGTGTCACAGGCTTAACGTGACATCAAACATGAACTTTGAATCAAAACATGCCACAACGCGTGCTATAGAACAAAGTTTCTATGCAAATGGTGTAGTTTTTGTCAGATGTTCTGTTTCCTATTAATTTATGGTCAAATCTACAGATGGCCAAAAACCAGTGTTGAGCCCAAACTGGTCCTGGTTCGAGATTTTTGTTTTGTAACCCGTCCCATGATAACAGGTCTTGGTCCCAACCAAAAACACCTAACCCGTTCTCTATGTATATGTTAGGTTACAAGATCTCAAGCACAACCGAAAATAAAACCGTAACTTTCCAATGACCTATGCAAACCAAATTAAATAGGATGTCTCGAAATTATAGCTCACAGTTAGAGATACTTTGAATCACAACAACAAACAAGACTTGATGCCTCCACGCCTCCACGGTATCCACACGAACAATCTGAATCATTCGCTTTCTCATGATACTAGTCACGGTTTCAAAACTTAGAAATAAAATAGAGCATATGATTGTAGGTGATTTTTAAGAGAAAATTGCAAGACCAAAATTTGCATAAAATGTCATACATTTTATTGTTACGAGAGATATATTATAAAACCACCACCATCCCTATTCCCTACACCTTACTTGAGTGCAAGAATTGTCATACACCATCACTCTCTTTTTAAGACCATCCCTAATCAACCTAGTTTATGTTCAACATAAATAATATCTGATTTTTATTTAATCAGATTAAATCAATATAAATCATAATAGTTAAATATTTTAATTATTAAAACTACTTGTTCAAATATTTTTAAATTGTGTGATGCAATGAGTTCTCGTCATGCTAATAATACATATAAATCTCGTAGTTATAGTTATAAACGATGAGTGATATCTAGTAATACATCACTGTCATCCAAACGATAAGAATCGATGATACAACAAATTATCGGTTTGTAATTAGTTTTAGTTTGCACATTTAGTGAGTCTGTCTTTGATGTCCAGGTTGAACACTAGACATTGAATGCGTCATTCTCGTTATGCCAATTTCTAGTTTATTAATTCACTAATATATTGATAAAACATATCATGATATCTCATATTAATTATCTGAGCATGCATGTATTTTCTCAGTATATATTTATCAAGGGTCCAGAGACATTACTCTTGTCATAAAAAAATGAACAAATCATGTTTCGGTACATACTAATTCCACCATGTGATATATAACATATCCAACAATCATCCTGTCACCCAATTACAAAATGATTAGAATAAATGTCAAAATATGTCACTCACACACAACAAACTCTATTTTCACAAGTCAAAAAATAACATGTACATTGACCACATGATAAACGTTTATGGCACTCACATGACATCCAATGCAGCGTTCTCATAACGAGTCACGTTCAATACATAAAATCTCCACCTTGTACCCACGTACAGATTTGATATCTCTATATGAATCCATATATATACTAGTCGTTATCATATTATTTCAACCTTAAACCCAAAATGATATTTAACTACAGACATTTAGAATACATTATTTTAAGATTATTTATTATAAGTAATTAAAACACAGAATATAATATGCATATAATAAAATTTCATGAAACAAAACTCAAAATCATAATTATCCTATGAATGATTTTTGGGCATTCATTAACAGTACAAAGTTGAGTCCGGGGCCAAACCGGTCCCAAATTTTCCTTTTCTAAAAATCAATTTTAAACATATAAAAGAATCTTGTTTGAATTTTTTTTTGACAATATCTTATTAAAATACACTTTAAAATCTCTAACCCGATCATTCAAATGCATTTTAGATATATTTTTTAAAATCTTTTTTACATAAAAATGTGACACGTGTTTTATAACTATGACTTTTAAATTTTAGTATTACAACACTTTAAAAAAACTTCAAGTTTTTGGTAAAAAAAATTAAAAATCTTATAGAAATCTTGAAATACTTAATATATATACTAGAAGCGTACTCGCGCAATGCAGCAAGATACATCGTGATTTTAATATTTCATTTTATTCTTTATCTCAGTCGATGTTATAATATGGCTTTATATGATTTTGAGAAAGCGATGATGTTTTTATTTTTGAATAAAATATATGTTTGTAGATATCATAAAATTTTGACAAAAATATATCGATATTAGTATCAAATTAACTATTTGAAATTCCTCATTTTTTTGTGTAATTTTTTAATTCAATGTTTTTATAATTTAATTTA